CGGTAGGGTGCTGTAGGGGATTCCAGATACTGGCCAACACTGGGATGCCACACAAAGCCCAGTTCCCAGACCTGGGCCCGGAACAGGGGACTTTGGGCTGCAAAGAGTGGGGGCCGCCGTGCTCCTGCAGCTACCTGGTCACTGATTTTACCAACTCTGGTGTCCAAACTCCCAGGGTGTCTCCTCAGAGCCCACGTAGCCTAATACACCTGTTTTCAAAATGAGAATCACAGCCACCATTCTCTTCATTCCACGGTGGGGCGTGAGCAGGCAGAGGAGCAGGGCAGCTAAGGCCGAGCAAACACCACACAGTTTGCAGTTCCAAGGAGCTCCTGGGCCTGTGCGTTTGAGGGTGGCAGTATTACGGAAGGGGTAGATAGATGTGCAGGCAGCCACACCCCTCCTCCTCCCTCCTGGGAACTTGTTCCTTTTGAGGTTTGAGAAACACAAGCCTCGCATCTGTGTCTGCGGAGCTGCCGTGGTGAGCCAACAAGCGGTGAGACCAGGGCTGAGACTGGCTGGAGGCAGCTTGCTGCCTGGACTTTCCAGAGGAGGAAATGGCCCCTGAGGTCACAAGAGGATGAAAGAAACTGAAACAGACCATTCTCCCCGCCCCCACAAGCATGCACGATTGTTCACAAGCATGCACACTCACACCCCACCAGCCATCTGCAGCATCCACACCCACGTCCAGCCCTGCCCGGACCCTGCTCACGACTGACATTCGTTTCGCATACGTGTTTGGCTTGTTGCATTTGAGAAAACCTAGTTTTAATCAAATCCAGTGCTTGCCACCCCAAGACTTGACAGCCGCACAAAACAGGGTCTCCCTGATTGGGCCACGGGGCAGCTGGCAGCTGGGCAGCTGACAAGATGGAAGGTGGAGTCCCTCGCAGGTGAGAGAGTGGTTTCCGGAAGCACAGGAATTCGCAGTCGTGGATTAAACTGCAGTGAGGGACGCCTGCACCCCGGCGGAGAGCCAGAGGTCTGGGAGCACGCTGAGCACAGCAAGCGGGGACTCTTCCAAAACCCACCGCGGCAGCCAGTGGGCAGGCGTGGGGGCTGTGGGGAGAGCTGCTGCAGTTTGCCCGGGAGGATGCCAGGTCCCCCAGACTGCCCAGAGAGCGGGGCTGGGGATGGGAGGGGACCCAGCCCCGTCAGACTCCAGAACAGAGAGGCCCATGAAGTGAGCTAAGAAGGAAGGAAACTCATCTATCAATAACCAAGATGTCCAAGAAGGATCATATTAGGAAGTGTTTTGTGTTTTTCGCCCATCAAGCCTAGTCACCCCCAACTCGAATCCCTCGCCATCTATGTGCCAATTCTTAACCACTTTATTTTTCTGCTCAGCCAATAGCCGTTCACAAACCTCACGAAGCGTGTTCTGAATCTTATCGTAGCCGCTAAGCCACGCCTGAGAGTAACTGCTCTCGGGCCAGCCCAGCCCAGGCTGACCCCGACTGTCACGGGCACTGGGTCCGGACCTGCGTCTCTCCGCCCATGCAGGGGAAGGGCGCCGCGGTCAGGCAGCCCCACCTTGCGCAGGTGCCACGCAGGCCCTGTGAGTGGGATATCGTGATTTACAATAAGAGATATATTTTGGTCTTTGTCCCTGGTTCCTGGCACGGAGCTCCTGAAAACAACAACAACAACGACAAAACCACCACCACAAACCTTGTAACTCCCGGAGCAATAGGGAAACACCCTTTGTTCTAACATTTGGTTTGTGACCCAGTTGCGGTGCAAGGCTCCCAAATCTCTTGGAATTTCCTGGGTGATAGGAGCGTCTTTTGGTCTAATGAGGTGACTCTTGGTGGGCTCCTGGGTGGGGGCTGCCCCCACAAAGACCAAGCCATGAGTAGAAGCTTGAAACTTTCGGTCCCACACCCCTTCCACTGGGACGGAGCGGGGCCTGCAGAGGGAGTTAATAACTGGTCATGCCTACGAGAAGATGCCTCCATAAAAATGTCTGAACTGTGGGATTCGGGGATCCAGGAGGCTGGCCAATGAGAGCACATATGTGTGCTGGGAGGGCGGTGCACCCGAGAGTGCGTGGAAGCTCCACGCTCCCTCCCCCGTACCTCGCCCTGTGCGCCTCTTCCATCTGGCTGCTCCTGAGTGTATCCTTTTATAATAAATGGGTAAAAGTAAGTAAGATGTTGCCTTGAGTTCTGTGAGCCACTCTAGCAAATGATTGAACCCAAGAAGGGGGCTGTGGGAACCTCAGACTTGCAGCCAAGTCCCGCAGAAACTGTGGGTGACATGGGGACCTACTGCCTACAATAGCATGGGAAAGGGCGCGGGGGAAGTCTTGTGGGACTGAGCCCTTAACCTGTGGGATCTGATGCTATTAGTATCTCCAGGTAGACAGTGTCAGAATTGAATTGAATTGTGGGATACTGAGCTGGTGCCAGAGAATTGGCCAATGTGGGAGAAACTCACCCATCTGGTTGCAGAGGTGTTCTGTGTTAAGAGTGAGGTATAGAGAAGGAAATACAGTTTGGTTTTTCCTATCTCGTAGGTGGTCATCCAGGTCTTAGTCCGTGGCCTTCAGGGACCTGGGGATGAAGGAATAACTGTAAGGGGTCCTTCAAGCCATATTCACACTAAACATTGCCTAAAACAGCACAGCCAATACGGCAGCCACTAGCCGCACGTTGACATTGAGTACCTGACACGTGGCCATCGGGATGTGCCAAGAGTGTAAAATACACACTGGATTGTGAAGACCTAGTGTGAAAAAGGAATGTAAACTATCTCATTAATAATATTTTTAGCATTGATGATATGTTGAACTGATAATATTATATTCTGGTTCTATTGGGTTAAATGTAATATATTATAAAATTATTTTCACTTTTTTATTATCACAAAATACATACGACATAAAATTTACCATCTTAACCTTTTCCAAGCGTGCGGTTCAGTGGTGTTAAGCACATTCATGTTGCTGCGCTCTCATCGCCACCATTCATCTCCAGAACGCTTTCGTTTTCCAAAACTGAAACTCTGTACCCATTAAACAACAACTCTTCATTCCCCCTCTCTCCAGCCTTGGCAACCACCATTCTACTTTCTGTAACTATGAATGTGACTATTCTGGGCACCTCGTGTAAGTGGAATCATAAAGTATTTGTCCTTCTGTGGCTGGCTGATTTCCCTGAGCATAATGTCCTCGCAGTCCATCTGTGCTGTAGCAGGTATCAGAATTTCCTTCCTTTTAAAGGCTGAATAATATTCCCTTTTATGTATGTATCGCATTTTATTTATCCATTCATCTGTTGTTGGATGCTTGTGTTGCTTCCCTGTTTTGGCTATGCTGCTATGAACATGGGTGAATTAAGTTCAAGTGCTAGCTTTCATGTTTTTCATTGTTTTTCATTATGGGGGCTATATACCTCAGCAATGGAATTTCTAGATCATACGGTAATCTATGTTTAACATTTTGAGGAACTGCCGTACTCTGTTTTCCACAGCAGCTGCACCATTTTACATTCCCACTAGCAGTGTACAGGGGTTCTTATTTCCCCGCATCCTCACCAACACTTGTTATTTTCTATTATTTTATTTCTTAATTTTTTTATGGTAGCCATCCTAGTGGGTGTGAGGTGGTATTTCATTGTGGGTTTGATTTGCATTTCCCTAATGATTAGTGATGTTGAGCATCTTTTCATGTGCTTTTTGGCCACATGTCTTGTATGGAGAATCACCTGTTTCTTTTACCTTTTTTTAATGTGGCTACTAGAAAAGTTAAAGTTACACATGTGGCTCACATTTTATTTCTACTGGACAGCCCCAGTCTAGAGTGTCTAAAGATACAACTGCTGCCACACAGAATGTTTCTGCCATGGATGGAACCCTGATATTCAAAATGTGGCA